TGAGCGGGAGCGTCCGTGATTGGTCCTTATGCATACAACCTCATTGGTTGGTAATTGTACAGTAGGCGTGGCTACATTAGCCGGGAGAGTTTAAAAGCAGGACAGCTGCAATGTAAAAGCTGTTCTGGCTATCAGAGGTTGATCCGTGTTGGAGTTGTGTTCGAGTTGATGAATAAAGCCGAATCTTTGCTGAATCACTCTCCGACTACTTTGTTAAGCGAGCGACTTAACAGCTAGATCCTTTTCTGTCCTGGACCCACCCTGGTGGAACGTGCTCCCACTTGAGATCAGGGCCTGTAAAATGCTCCGCCGGGCTTTCTGTTGAGGTGGTGGACACCAAACCAGTTGGCCTCCCTGCAGAGAAGCTGTCTTGATCATCTCCCCCATGCGGAGTCCTGGTACTCTGTGAGCTTGGTGTGACTCCAGCTACCGTCAGTCCGGCTTATGGGGGGGGATTTGAACTGTTTAATGGTTTTAGCTGGTTTTTAAGAATCTATATCAATTAAGTTTTGATTGTTCATGCACCCTGATATCACCCACCCTGAGCCCGCTTAGGAAGGGTGGGATATAAATGTAACTAATACATAAACGATAAACAAAATAAATAATTGCTGTAGTATCGGGGACATATGTTCCCAGTAGCCGGCCACAACCAGCAGTCTAGCTGCAGCTTTTGAACACTCTTCAAGGGTAGCCCCAAGTAAAGGGCATTGCAGTAGTCCATCCTAAATCTAATTAAGGCACAGATCATTGTGGCTGGATCCAATTGAGCCAGGAACAAGTGCAGCTCAGCTTCTTTGACAGAAGAAGAAGAAGAAGAGTTCGTTTTTATACCCTGCCCTTCACAACCCAAAGGAGCCTCAGAGCAGCCTACAATCTCCTTTCCCTTCCCCTTCCCACAACAGACACCCTGTGAAGTAGTTGGGGATGAGAGGCCTTTGAGAGAAATGTGACTGACCCAAGGACACCCACCTGGCTTCATGTGAAGGAGTGGGGAATCAAACCTGGTTCTCAAGATTAGAGTCTGCCACTCTTAACCACGACACCAAACTGGGCCAGTCAGCAGGACCTCTCCCCAAAATCTTAATTCTGGGGCAAGAACATATGGGAAAAGAGCGTCCTTCATTTCTGTTTACATTCTCAAAGAGAGAGCCTGTTGTCAGTTCCCAGGGAAGCAGCGATCCGTCTTTTTTGTATGATATACGAAGCTTCCTTCAGAACGAGCAGGATTTTCTTCTGTAAGCTAAGCAGGCGGAAAAAGCTGGGTTTGCGAAAACTGTCCTCCTTTAAAGTGCAGAGGGAACCAGGGAATTCTGTGCTTAATTAAACAGATAGGGCTTGGCCCGGGGTGTAAATAAATGGTTATCAAAAGGGCACGCCCCAACCTGTTTCTGCTCATAACTCTTTTCCTCCGCCCTGTTGCTGATCTTGCGTTGTTAAAGATTTGTTTTGGAGTGGAGGGGTTAGAGGCAGCGAGGGTGTCTGCCTTCTCCTCTCGTGGTGCCTTCCCAGAAATTCTCAGCACCCCATGGTTGGGAGAGGATGGAGGTCCGCTGTGGGTGAACCGTATCTCGTCTCCCGTCAGCTGCAAAGTCCGGTTGCATCACTCTGAGTCGAGCGAGTTCGGCCCACGGAAACGTGTTTTTACATTTTAATTCCTTTCCCAGCAAATTGACACCGGTTGGAAAAGCACCTTAATCCGCTGTGACCTTGGATCTGTTCCAAACGGCATTCAAGGCACGGATTAAGAGTCTTACACCATGGTGCCTGGAATCCAGTACAATTTGTTTAGAGGTTTTGTAAACTTTGACAATCCCTCTCTGCTCTCCCTTCGGCAGTGACTGAGGGCAGATTCCAGATGCACAGTAGATGGGCTTGCTTCCCAACGGTTGCATGAGGCAAAAATCTACGGCTTGCTATCTGAGGCATACAACTTTTTTTTTGCCACAACAGGGGCTGCCACGTGCATGTTTTCCCCAGACACTTTTCACAGTGGCCTGATATCTCTCTCTGCTTTGCATGTTTCAGAATTTCAAAAACGTTTGGGCAGTTTAGGTAAAGGTTTCCCTTGCTCGAAAGCCAGTCGAATCCGACTGTAGGGGGCGGTGCTCATCTCCGTTTCCAAGCTGAAGAGCCAGCGCTGTCCGAAGACTTCTCCGTGGTCATTTGGCCGGCATGACTAAATGCCAAGGTGCACGGTACACTGTTCCCTTCCCACCGAAGCGGTCCCTATTTATCTACTTGCAATTTCTAGGTTTTGAACTGCTAGGTTGGCAAGATTGGGCACTTTAAAACTGCGCAAAGGGTGGCGTGTGCAAACCGAGACTCTTCTCACAATACATCTGCCCTTTTTGCATGTTACGTGCAATGTGGGAGTGGTAGCACAGTAGAGTGGTAGGCGCGTAGCTACATTTGAGACCCTGCTAAGTGTGCAACTTTGCTACCATCTTGGTTCCCTCTCCACATCCTTGTGAACCAACTTAGGACCAAATGACATGTTATGCTTGGGAATCTTTTAATTGATCTTATGACACAGAGCAGTCAACGAGATTAATTGGGACGGCACCTCAGGGGAGGTTTTTAATATATTTTTAAAGCTCTTTCTCTCCTGTGCTGTTTTCATATTGAAAGTATGCCCCTGGGTTGCTTTTGAGTCCTGGGGGAGGAAAAGAAAAATAACGGTTACCTGTCTTTTTCCTTTGCCTGTCTTTTTCCCTGTTGGGTTTAAAAGCAGCCTAAGAGGCCCAGTTTCAATCATTGGAGCCATACAGGGAAAATAACTAAATCCCTGTCTTTCTACCATGATATGCTGATTATATGAATATTTTGACTCTAAGGCAGAGTCCGATTTGGAGGGGGGGGGATCCAGACAGGAAGGGCCCTGCAGCAAGGCAAATTGACATCACTTCCTCTTGTGTGGTTCTCGTTACCTTCGGGGAAGTTTGTGTAGAACTTCCTGACAAACGGATTTGTTCGAAATATTTCCATTTCATCTCTCAACCACAGCTCTCAATCTGACTTAGAAGTTTTCTTTTTTTTGGGTCGTGTTTGTATGTATATGTGTAGTGATTATAGTACTAAAAAACAAAGCATAAAACCTTCAGCAGATTGAAATTCTGGAGTGCTGATTAACCAATCGTGTAATTAGAAGCCAAGCTAGATAACAGGTTTCATGCCTGGCACACGATAAACATCAAAGGCTGGTGCCAGGCGAATGGATATGCCACAGACAAGGTGCCAGGGAAGAATAAGCCTTCTCTATTGGCCATCCTCTTCTGGCAACTTATTTGGGCTTGCCAGAATTATATTAATATACAAGTACAAGTTTAGTTTATTGTCTTAGCCATTGGCCATAACAACACAAAATAAATCAAAGCACAACAGACATTATACATCAATAACTTGCAGTAAGTCCTAGACCCAGTCTTATCTTTTTCGCCACCAGTGCAAACAAAGCCATTCTGCTAGTAACATGTGCATCAATATCAGAGAGCAAGAAAACGGTCAAATCCTGCTCTGAAATTCCATTATACAGAGGTACAATAGGATAAATAAACCTTTGCCTAAGTGATTTGTGCCATGAACATCTCAGAATGTAATGCTCAACATCATCCACTTCACCCATACCACATAGGCATATTCTAGAGGCGGCAGGGACACCCTGAAAGCGGCCAATACAAACCATTGAGGGTATGACGTGGAACCTTAGGGTAGTAAAGGCCCTTCTCAGCTCCAGAGTAGTTAATTTCTCAAGATATACAGTCCTACAATGATCTCTTTTAAAGATCTTAGACAAGGGGGCTGTATTAATGGGTTAGGTAGGTTCCAACAGGAGTGAGTTTCCCAGTTGCAGCTTTAGAGGTCCAAACTGGCACAAAGGTTACCAAGGAGTGACCAACTGAGGCAAGATCGTGTTTGAGCACCTACTGGTCACGTCTGGCCAGCTTCAGTTAACTGCACTGAGAACCTTGCTATCTGTGACAGAGTTGCCTAACTCGAGCAAACGAGCCAATGCTCCCTCTAAGCCAGTGATGGCGAACCTTTTGGAGACCGAGTGCCCAAACTGCGACCCAAAACCCTCTTATTTATCGCAAAGTGCCAACACGGCAATTTAACCTGAATACTGAGGTTTTACTTTAGAAAAAACAACCCATACATTAACTTAAGATGATCCAAACAAAGTAAGGAAAGCAATCCCAAATGCTTTCATTTACTTAAAATTATTTGGCAGAGAATTCGACACTTTTATGATGGTCTGGGCCTGGCTGGGGCGATGGCACACGTGCCCACAGAGAGGGCTCTGAGTGCCACCTCTGGCACCCATGCCATAGGTTCTCCACCACTGCAGTAAGCTGTGGAGTCTTGTGAGCAAAAATTCTACTTTGTGAGCTGCCGGCATTAAAGTTGTGAGCAGGAGATTTGGCTCCTGCATAAATTAGTTTGCTCTGGGGACATCCTTCCTGAGCTAAGACAAAAATGTGTGAGCCGGAGGCTAACAAAACCATGAGCTAGCCCATACTAACTCAGCTTAGAGGGAACACTGATTGTAACCACACTGTTGTCTGCAGGGCTCTTTTTGTAGAAAAAGCCTAGCAGGAACTCATTAGCATAATAGGCCACACTCATGACAACACAGCTCATTAGCATATTTGGCCACACCCCCATGTTGCCAGAAGTGTGCTCATCCAGCCACACCCACCTTTTGCTTCTTATTCTGTTTACCTCGTTTGTTGACAAAACCCAGGGCCTTTTTTGTAGCAGGAACTCCTTTGCATGTTAGGCCACACACCCCTAACGTAGCCAATCCTAATGAGTTTCTGCTGTTGGGTGTGGCCTATTATGCTAATGAGTTCCTGCTGGGTGTGGCCAACTCGGGAGGCAGCCGGAACTCCGTTCCTGTGCATTCCTGCCCCAAAATAGCCCTGGTTGTCTGTATCATTTGCAAACTGTCTGATTTTTTCTTCGTAAAACCCTTCTGTGTCTTCCGCTCACTCTTGCAGGACAGTCACAGTTGTCTTGGTGGTTGTGAGCGTGGTGTGGATTCCGATCCTGCAGAGCTCCAGCAGCGGTCAACTTTACATTTACATCCAGTCTGTTACCAGCTACCTGGCGCCGCCCGTCACGGCTGTGTTTCTGCTGGCTGTTTTCTGGAAGCGAGCCAATGAGCAGGTAAATCCCGTGTTGGGTATACAGCTAGCAAAGAGCAGCATTCTGGCTTTCCTAGGTCACCCCAGACTTGGGCTGGAGAGCGGAAGCTGATCCGTGCAGTTTACACCAGGAGTGCACAACTCAGTTACATGGGCCATAATGGATCTTGAACCCATAATGAGGTTCAATGTGGCCAAGTGCAAGGTGATGCACATTGGAGCCAAAAATCCTAAATATAAATACACGTTGATGGGGTCTGAACTGGCAGAGACTGAGCAAGAGAGAGATCTTGGAGTTGTAGTGAATAACTCACTGAAAATGTCGAGACAGTGTGTGACTGCAATAAAGAAGGCCAATGCTATGCTGGGGATTATTAGGAAGGGTATTGAAAACAGATCAGCCAATATAATAATGCCCCTATATAAATCAATGGTGAGACCTCATTTGGAATACTGTGTGCAGTTCTGGGCACCACACCTTAAAAAGGATATTATAGCTTTGGAAAAAGTGCAGAAAAGGGCAACTCGAATGATAAAAGGGTTGGAACACTTTCCCTATGAGGAAAGGTTAAAGCGCTTAGGGCTCTTTAGCTTGGAGAAAAGACGACTGAGGGGTGACATGATCGAGGTTTATAAGATTATGCATGGGAAAGAGCAGGTAAAGAAAGAGGTACTTTTCTCCCTTTCTCACAATACAAGAACTCGTGGGCACTCCATGAAACTGCAGAGCGGTCGGGTTAGAACGGATAAAAGGAAGTACTTCTTCACCCAAAGAGTGATTAACACATGGAATTCACTGCCACAGGAAGTGGTGGCGGCTACAAGCATGGACGGCTTCAAAAGGGAATTAGATAAGCATATGGAGCAGAGGTCCATCAGTGGCTATTAGCCACAAGGTATAGATAGGGTCTCTGGGGCAAGGGATGCTCTGTCTTCTTGGTGCTTGGGGGGGGGTCAACAGTGGGAGGGCTTCTAGTGTCCTGGCCCCACTGCTGGATCTCCTGATGGCACCTGGTATTTTTGGCCCCTGTGTGACAGAGTGTTGGACTGGATGGGCCATTGGCCTGACCCAACACTGGCTTCTCTTATGTTCTTATGACTGCAGCTAAGTGGGCTGCCTGTGCTTTATGATGCCACCTGGCTGCACCCTGAGATGCTGCCTGGCTGTGCCCTGTGATGCTACCTGGCTGCACTATGGCACTATGGGGTGGGTGGGTGAGAAGACCACCTCTCATCTGTTCTCAAGGCTGAGATGCAGCATTCTGCCCCCCCCCCCCCCCCCCCTGAAATTTCTTCTTGCAGTGGAGAAATGTCCCATGCTGTCCCGATGTCAGAATGCTGATTCTCAGTCCACAGAACAACTAAGAGTTACAGGCTACAGCCACCCAACAAGAGTGCATCCCGCTCCTGATATTGTAGTGGCACGTTGGCTGAGGAACGGGCCAATAGAAAGGAGCATTTGAATTAGAAATAACCCTTTTGATCATTTCAGCGGCATGGCTCAATGGCCACATTCAAACATAGTACAATATAAAAGATAATAGCTTGAAAGAAAATCAACGTCATTAGGATATAGGTCAAGGTAAAGGTTTCCCTTGCTCGAAAGCCAGTCGAGCCCGACTCTAGGGTTGCGGTGCTCATCTCCGTTTCAAAGCCGAAGAGCCAGCGCTGTCCGAAGACATTTCCGTGGTCATGTGGCCGGCATGACTAAACACCAAGGCGCACGGAACGCTGTTACCTTCCCACCAAAGTGGTCCCTATTTATCTACTTGCAATTTCTTGCTTTCGAACTGCTAGGTTGGCAGGAGCTGGAACGAGAGACGGGAGCTCACTCCGTCATGCAGCACCCGGGTCTCAAACTGCTGAACTACCGACCTTCCACAGCCTGCAGTTCAGCGTCTTAACCACTTGAGCCACCGCAGCTCAATCACCGCATTAGGATATACACAGGAATAATTTCATAGAAAAAGAGGTGCTGGAGCGCATTAGAATAACTCATTAGCATAACTTATTTGCATATGCCACACCCCCTGACATCACTGGAAGTGTGTCAGAAGGCAACACCCACCGCTGTGTATTCCCCCCCTTATTCCCCCCCCCCCCCATAGCTAGCAATCCAAAACAGTCCAGTGGCACCTTTAACACCAAGTTTTATTCAGGTATAAGCTCTCCCCCTCCTCTGCGAGGACATATCTGCACGTTCCCCCCCCCCCAGTAGCTAGCAATCCAAAACAGTCTAGTGGAGCCTGAGCGATGGGTGTTGCCTTCTGACACACTTCTGGTGATGTCAGGGGATGTGGCATATGCAAATAAGTTATGCTAATGAGCTCCTGCACCTCTTTTTCTACAAAATGACTCCTGGTTGTCTGGAAACCAGTTGTAATAGCTGGAGTCCTGCAGGCCCCACCTGGAGGCTGGCAACCACAGGCTATGTTGTACAGCTGGCTAGGAAAGGGACGTTGAGAGGCATCGTATGGGGTCTGCAATCCTCTCGCACATGCCAGCCCTGCCGTCTAAACTCGAAGAACAGTGTGGGGTTGCCTGTGCACAGCCACAAAGGGCCGTATCTCACGGCTGGCCGCCGTATTTGTCCATCTGGTCCAGTAATGTGGCTTCTCACCTGGGCTGGCTGGACGCCTTCACTGGCCTGCGAACAGGGGCACAGCGGCCAAAACTTTCCCCCCGTTGCTGCCATTCCCCCGCAATGGCTATCGTGGTGCACGCTGCCCCTGAACGTGGAGGTTCTGTTTTAATTATGTGTTTAACGGTGAGCTCCCATCTCTAGTTCCAGCTCCTGCCAACCTAGCAGTTCAAAAGCAAGAAATTGCAAGTAGATAAATAGGGACCACTTAGGTGGGAAGGTAACAGCGTTCCGAGCACCTTGGTGTTTAGTCATGCCGGCCACATGACCACAGAAACGTCTTCGGACAGCGCTGGCTCTTGGGCTTGGAAACAGAGATGAGCACCGCAACCCTAGAGTCGGACTCGACTGGCTTTCGAGCAAGGGAGACCTTTACCTTTAACGGTGTGCAGTCACACCATTGTGGGAAGTAAGATTGGCAGGTCACCCCGGGCCACCAGCCGGGGTTGGGGTGGGGTCAGGTTGTGAAAAGTACTGGGTCCGACGCATGGAGAACTCAGACCACGACATGCGTTCAGATGCGTTTGTTGTCCTTCCAAACAAGACACACAAAACGGCCCTGCAAGGCCAACTATATACCCTCCACCCTGCACACCTCTGTCCCCATTGGAGGGTTTGAACCTCCCGCCAAGGGTGCTATTGGTGGACTCCCGGTGGACTAGGATCCTAGATCCCCTTTGTGTTTGGGGACCAAGCCCCTGCTTTGACCGCGGACCCCTGGTGGCGGTCCGTGTACATAACAGGTTGTCATTCAGATCCAGGTTGGGGAACTCCTGGAGGTTTGGGGCCAGAGCCTGGGGCGGGCGGGGGCCTCAGCGGGGGTACAATGCCATGGAGTCCACCCTCCAAAGCACCCACCTTCTCCCGGGGAACTGATCTCTGTAGTCCAGAGATGAGCTGTAATTCTGGGGGATTCCCCAGGTCCCACCTGGAGGGTGGCATCCCGAGTGGGAGGAAGGGGTATGATTTGGGCATCGAAGGTCCTGCCAGGGTGAGGGATGTTGAGGATCCCCTCCCTTCACCTCCCTGCAGTCTGTTTCCACAAATGTTTTTCTCCCAGCTCAACTCACTTCTGGGTACCAGTGCTGAGCTGAAAGGGACAGATCCTGGAGCCAGTTTAGGAGGGCTTATTTCCCCCGTACCCCTGCAACCCTCCTTGCTCCTCCTGAACCATTGGAGTCATTCTGCCCCTAATGGGCTTATGAAAGAGCTCATAGAATTATGTCTTGCGGCTGCTAGGAATGTTATTGCATTTCACTGGAAATCTAAGAAGACGCTGCAAATGAGTGATCGGTATCTAAAATTGTGGGACTTCTTTCTACAAGACAGAGTTTCCACTCGTATCCTTCGATCTGAAAACCAACCCGTTCCTGACAGTCTCCAAGAAAAATGGATGCCCCTCTTAGAAACGTCAGCAGCACATAAAAATGACACCTCCCTGTTTGCTCTACATAAACATCAGGATCCAGGGGTCATTTCGTAGAAAAAGAGGGGCAGGAGCTCATTAGCATAACTCATTAGCATCACTTATTTGCATATGCCACACCCCCTGACATCACCGGAAGTGCATCAGAAGGCAACACCCACCGCTCAGGCTCCACTGGACTGTTTTGGATTGCTAGCTATTGGTGTGTGTGGGGGGAAACATGCAGATCTGTCCTCACAGAGGAGGGAGAGCTTGTACCTGAATAAAACGTGGTCTTAAAGGTGCCACTGGACTGTTTTGGACCGGGGGGGCGGGGGGGGGCTCTGCAACTTACCTGGCTGCTTCTTGCTCTGACTGAGGGCTGCTGGGAGCAGGGGGTTGGGCTTGTTGCATGTGCCCGCCCCCTGGGCTCTTTACTGCCGGAGCTCCGCTCCTGTGCGCTCCTGCAGGAAATGACCCCTGTCAAAATCTACTTTCTTATTTTTAACTGGTTTTTTAAAATTTAATTTTAAAAAAAGTTGGAAAAAAATAAAAAAATTAAAAGTTCCCCATACCCTTTGGCTTCTTTTGGTGGTAAAAGCAGACCCCCTACTTGCTTAGGGTTGCCAATCTCCAGGTGGCACCTGGAGATCCCCAGCTATTACAATTCATCTCCAGACGACTAAGATTAATTCCCCTGGAGAAAATGGATGCTTTGGAGGATGGGCTCTACGGCATTCTGCCCTGCTGAGGAAACTCCACTTCCCAGACCCCGCCCTCCCCAGGCTCCACTCCCAAAATCTCCAGGAATTTCCCAACACAGACATTGCAGTCCCTTTTTATATATCCAAAGGGTCAGAACAGCAGTTAACGAAGTCGTCTGCCGCTGTTGTGTGATCATAGCCTGATTAATACGCAGTCCAGTGGCGCCGTTAAGGATTAACAAAATTTATTCTGGGGCTCACTTCATCAGACGTATTGGAGTGCACACCCACAGCCGATATATTTACACGTGAAGTTTCAAGTCGGACAAGGTACTCTGACTCTCATTAGGGAGAGAACTTCGAAAGGGTAGCCATCTTAGTCTATTTGTAGGCAAGTAATCTAGCTGCGGTGGCTCAAGTGGTTAAGACGCTGAACTGCAGGCTGTGGAAGGTCGGTAGTTCAGCAGTTTGAGACCCGGGTTGCTGCATGACGGAGTGAGCTCCTGTCTCTAGTTCCAGCTCCTGCCAACCTAGCAGTTCGAAAGCAGGAAATTGCAAGTAGATAAATAGGTACCACTTCAGTGGGAAGGTAACAGCGTTCCGTGCGCCTTGGTGTGTAGTCATGCCGGCCACATGACCACGGAAACGTCTTCGGACAGCGCTGGCTTTTCGGCTTTGAAACGGAGATGAGCACCGCAACCCCAGAGTCGGATTCGGCTGACTTTTGAACAAGGGAACCTTTACCTTTAATCTAGTGCGGCCTTTAAGGCAAACCAAGTTTATTCCAGCAGAAACGTTTCACAAATCGGCGTTTGACTTCTCGCTATGTGGACTTGAGTTGTGGAGCATCTGCGTTATGTATTAGGTCTGAAATGTTCCAGGACTATCTACCAGAGACTGGCTGAGCTTGGAGCTCTTGAACAATAGCCCACCAGGACTCTGGAAGCGACCAATGAGGAACTAATGTTATGTAAATAGCTTATGGTTGGGAGTGGGGTGTGTCTGGGTGTGGTTTTTGCATGCTATTTAAACAGCGCTGTTGCCCTGGTGTTTTAGTCTTGTTCCTGAAACCACTTAATAAAGTAGGGCTGTTCACTGCGATGCATCTTGAACCCAGTATTTAATACTGGCAACGAGGGTGGGATCCTGTTGAGCCCATCTGCACCGCACCGCACACCAAGCTCCAGTACCACACAGATCGCACCGCAACCAGGACCATGGCTGCCACTCCAGGACACTTCGGCGCATTCGACGCCACTGCTGAGGCCTGGGACTCCTACATTTCTCACTTCGAGTTCTTCCTCGAGTCCTCCGAGTTCGACGAAGACATGAAGAAGCTCGCTGCCTTCTTCCGGGTCTGCTGCTGCTCAGCGTTCGAGTTCTGCCAGAAATGCTTGGCCAGGGGTCCATCTAATCCAGCATCCTGTCTCACACTGGCCACCCAGTTGCTCTGGAAGTTCAACGACAGGGCAGAGAGGCCAAGGCCTTCCTGTGAAGTTGCCTCCTGGCTCTGGGATTTAGAGGTCGACTGCCTCTGAATGTGGAGGTTCCCTTGAGGGGTGCGGTCAGACAGTGTGCTGAGAGCAGGTTAAACTGCTCCAGTTCTACCTGGATTGTATTTGATCTGAATAATCGCGATCAGACTTACCTCCCTTTATCCCGCCTCACCGCGCAGTCACGTCGCTCCCCGGCGTCTACACTACTGACGTGCGGGAGTGCAGGTCGGCGGGTTTTTAATTTTTTTCCTCAGTTTGCGCAGGCTCCATAGAATGGGGGCAAAACTACCATGGCGCATGTGCAGAACCACCAGGGCGAATCAATCCAACCCCTCCAACAAAAGACTTCCCTTTAAACGTTTGACCCAAAAATAGCCTCCATGAGATCCCGAACTCATCTAAACGCTAAAACAAGTGACTGTTGAAATGTTGGTTTTCTAAATGCGGTGGCGGAGCTCCGCCTATGCGCACACCAGCAACGCATTAAAAAAAATAGTGGGCGAAAAGCGGACACCTCGGGCAGCTTTCGAGCTGGGAGGGGGTTTAAACCGAAAGTGGCTCGACACCGGATCACACGGGGGGAAACGCGGCTTTAAACAGGAGAGCTGAGAAAACACCACTTTGGGACCTGGTAACAAAACACTCTCGGGTTAAAGCAGTTTTGAGCCGGAAACCAACAGCTGGGGACGGGAGGCAGATGTTGACTGTGTGATCATGCAGATAAAATCCGTTGCTGAAGCGTGACGACACCAGATCAAACGGCGCGTCTGAACGCACCCTAGTAGCCCGTTTCGATGTCTCCTCCCTGAATTGGTCTCATCTCCTTTAAAAGCCGTCTGTGCCTGTGGCCATCACTACGTCCTCTGGCAGTGAATTGGTGTTATAAAGAAGCATTTCCTTTTGTCTGCCCCAAAATCTCATTCCAGGGAGCCTTCTGGGGCCTGATGATGGGACTGGCAGTGGGCCTGATCCGGATGTCTCTGGACTTCACGCACCCCAAACCCCGCTGTGGGACCCTGGATGATCGCCCGTCCCTTGTGAAAGACGTCCACTACCTTCACTTTGCCGCCATCCTCTGTCTGCTGACTGCCGCCATTGTGGTCGCAATCAGCTTGCTGAGCAGGCCTCCTGCCAAGTCCCAGGTGAGTAGGG